GAAAAGAACTGGGAAAAAACAAATCCCTAGTCTAAATTTGATTAAGGCGAATCCACTGATTAGCATTTTCTCACCACTCTGGGTAATACAAAGGCATGCAGTAAGATACTGTGCTAAAGCAGAGCTTTATCCTGTGCCATTCTTTTTTATTTAGAACCATTTATTCACTGTACGTCTTCAGTATAATAAAGATACAGACTTTTCTGTGCCTTTGTATTTTGTGACAGTTTTGTGTAGCCCTACTGAATTTATTTAAATAATCTCTCAGGATAACGTGCAATGTGTGTTATTTTCTGGGATTTGGAAAAGATGGGTGAAGAATTAATTTTTTTTTTTTAATTTTATATATATATGTACAAAATCTGAAGGGTCTCAAATTGTCAAGAAGTTCAGGGACATGTCACTGTTCTGTATGAGACAGTTTTGCCAGGCAAAGTAGGAACAAAGATGTGGTGAAGGGAAGTCTCAAAACCCAAATTTCTCTTCTGACATTCTGAAAATTAAGGTCCTCTTTCAAAAGCAGAACTGTTAGCAATCTATTTGCAGAGATTAAAATAGTGTAAACCATTGTAAAGGTACAAGTTGTACTTTCTCATCTGGCTAATCCATCAGGATATGGAGAACAGCTTCTTTATGAATGTGAATGATCAAGTGAGAGAGGTGTGCAGCCAACTCGCAAAGGACCCTCACTTGAAAGGAGGCTACAATGCAATGGGCTTCTCCCAAGGAGGCCAGTTCCTGTAAGTTGACACTCCTGTTCCATTTCCAGTGATTTCTGTTGGGTTTTAGGTTCTGATTTAAAACTCTTTTGAAGTAGTGAGCAGATGTAAACTGACAAACCCCTTCGTAAAGGTAGGAGCGCTCCAAAGGAGGCAAGAACGTGTTTACCTGTAGCCCGCCTCTACCAGGAAGGGTTAATTCTCTGTTAATTCTCTTTGTAAACACTACCGAAGTGCCCGAGCCCAGACAGTGGCAAGCTGAGAGCTGCCTGTGAACCAGCACTGGTGGCCTGGGCGCACGAGGGCCAGCTCAGCACCTTCGTCTTTCTCCACAGGAGGGCCGTGGCCCAGAGGTGTCCTTCTCCTCCCATGCTCAATTTGGTCTCCGTTGGGGGGCAGCACCAAGGTAGGGTCCTCTTAAGCTACTTTGCCTCCTAACCACTGGGGTTAGGGTGGGGGTCTCTTGTTGGCAGGAGGAATGATTTTTTTGGCCTCTTCCTAAAAACTGTTTTCTTGTGAATTAAACTGTCCCTTTGTTTATGTCTGAATCTGGTCATCTGCTTTGGCACAGTTTGTAGCCAACTACGTTATCTTCTGTTTTGGTCTTGCTTAACTGGCAATGAGAAGGGACCTTTGTAAGTAGACTTGTTGCCTGGGTAGAATTCTTATCTACCTTGGAAACACTTGGGATTAGTTGTTTTGGGAGAAGAAGTTTCTAACTACAGAGCAAAGCCTCTGTGAAACTAAGCCTTCTGGGTAACAAGGATATTTTACAATCAGCATCTGGAAGGCTAAAGCCCCAAGGAAAGAGAAGTGCTTTTTGCAGTAGATTAAAGCAGCAGTATGAAGTGGAATTGAAGAGGTGTACAGTTAAGAGTGGCTAGCAGTGAATTTCAAATACTCTCCCCAGAGAAGTTCCATGGCTAGAGTCTGTTTCTTTGTAGTGTAGTGGGAAGACGTAGGGAACCATCTGAGACCTCCTGGGAACGCTCCAGGCAAGCTGGACAGTATTCTGCTTGTCTGCATGCCCTCATTCTCCAGAGCAATACCCTTAGCTTAAGAACATCATCCATTATCTTTGTGTGTAATAGTGTCTAGGGGCAGGAGGGCTGTCTAATGAGATTGCAGGATTAAAGGCTGCCTGATTCCCCGGGTAATTCTTGCCGCTGCTCTGTAAGAGGGTGGTTCTTTACCAGCCGGAGGGATTAAGGGATTTCAGTTTGGCTCACTGAGTTGTTACACGTCTCCATACCCCAGGTGTGTACGGCTTTCCACGCTGTCCTGGTGAGAGCTCCCATATCTGTGACTGGATCCGAAAGACGCTGGATCTGGGCGCCTACACGCAAGCTGTTCAAGAGCAGTGAGTATATTCGTCAAGCTGCAACAATGGCAGCTGGGCCTATGTGAGAAGCTCTGGGCTTCCGCTCTGATCTTTGGGTTCTCTCTTCTCCAGCTTGGTACAAGCAGAGTATTGGCACGACCCTCTGAAGGAGGAGGACTACAGGAAAAACAGCATCTTTTTGGCAGACATAAATCAGGAGAGGGTAAGGATCTGGCTGATGATTAGATGCTAGCAGGAGAGCAGAAGCCTTAGCAGTGGGTTCATTCACGTTAGTTCTCCCTGGCAGGAGTTTTGCTGGAGTTCGAAGTTTTTGCCCTGCATCCCAGGAGTGTATGAAGTGTTTTTGCTGCTAGATTTATGAATGAGACTTGTCCATGGCAGAGCAGTTCATGTGTCACTGCACTTTTTTGCAGTGGTTGGCATAGGTACACCATGTGCTCAGTCCACCCATCACCTTTCATGTGGGTGAATCCTCTCCCTCCCCTGGGAAGGCAGGGGAGGCCCGTCCCTTCTTTACAGCCTGGAGATGAGGCTGAACGCCATGAGCACAGCCAAGGGCGGCTGTTGACAGAAATGCACGTTCCTGCCTCCTAGGCTGGTGCAGTCCAGGGTTTCCTTTGCAGGTGCAGGGCAAGTTGGAGCAGGAGGTTTTCCTGACCTGTCTCAGTGAGCTTTCCAGTGACTTGGATCTGTTCTCTGTTGGTTTCATCCAGGGCATCAATGAGACGTACAAGAAAAACCTGATGGCTCTGAAAAAGTTTGTGATGGTGAAATTTCTCAATGATACCATGGTCGACCCTCCAATCTCTGAGGTGAGGCGGGCAGGGTGGGTGCTGCTTTTGAGTGGTGTTTTGGTGGTTGCATGTTTCTAGTTTTTCCCTTTGTGGCAGAAGTTGCGTTTGGCGAGGAGCAGGCTGAGCACAGACATAGGCCTGACACTGCACTGTCTCCAGCAGAAGCTGTTGAAAGCCTGCTTATCTCCTGGGAGCCCTTCAGCAACTGTTTCCTTGTTTTTATTCTGACAGTGGTTTGGATTTTACAAAAGCGGCCAAGCCAAGGAGACCATTCCGCTGAAGGAGACCTCACTGTATACAGAGGTGCGTTCTGCTGTTACCACTCTATGGTGTCCCTGGGGCCTTGAGCTTCAAACCCTACAGCTCTGCTGTCCTCTCCCCATCTCTGCCGTTCTTGGGGCATTCCCTCCTCTTGCCAGTAGCTGTTTGGGAAGGCATTTCTCTCCAGGCCAGTTCTGGCAGTGGGAATTACAGTGGTGGTCTCATGCCTGGCTCAAGATCCCCTTCAGCATGTGTTTGATGAACTCTGCTCCTTTTTAAAGCCGTGCTCTTAAGAATCATCCAAAATGCCTTTTTCCCCTCTATGAGAAGTTTTGAAGAGCAGAGGTGGAACCCGCTTTTGCCTGCCAGCCACTTGTGCTGCAACAACAGTCTCTGACCATCAGTGCTTTTCTCTATGCCAGGTTCCCCAGCCGTTGCCAGCATTTGGCTGTGGCAGGGCCCTGGAAGCTATGGCCATACTTCTCTCCGCAGGATCGCCTGGGGCTGCAGGAGATGGACAAAGCAGGAAAGCTGGTGTTCCTGGGGGTGAAAGGGGATCACCTGCACTTCTCAGAAGAGTGGTTTTACACCACTATCCTCCCCTTCCTCCAGTGAAGCTAAGGGGAGGCACCCTGCAAGAGCACTGGGGAGGGTCTACCACTGTAGTTAATGCAGCTGCTACTGTACAACAGCACTTTCTGCGTACAAGCCTGCGGGGACCGGGGAAAGGGGAAGAAGACGGGGTTTAGCTCAGCAGTTCCACGGTGTGTGGATGTGGTACCCATTACACTGCAGTAAGACAGCAGGATTTGTCTGGATATAATTACGCTCCAATATGGGGGGAACTGAGCCTTGCACTAACTCTGAAGCACTCCACTCTGCACAGGCCCTGGTAAGTCTACTTCAGTTCTCAGAGTTGTGGCTGTGCTGGTCGCTTGGTGATGGCAAAACAATTAGCTGTGCGAGAGGTTTGTATTCCCTGTTTCCTGTTCCTCACAGGATGCAATGGCAGTATTAACTGAAATTACTAGTGCAAGAATGCTGCATCTCTTAAAGGGATCAGCAAGTAGAATTAATGTGGCTGTAAAGAAAGGTATTGCAGCCTGTCCTTCACGATGGGGAAAAGGGCCAAATTTAGGGGGTTCTGGGGGAAAAAGGAGGGTTTTGAATTAAGCAGGTATTAACAGCTTGAACAATTTAACTAATGGCTTGTTTTATGCACTTTTGTACAGCAACTGAAATAAAGAACTTTACATCTAACCAACTGAAAAAAAAAAAGGTGAGATTTGGTAACTACAGACAATTCGATTTGAGGGGAGTTGAGGGAAGTCTGTACTTCCCAATGGGGAAAGCATTCAAAGCTGTCTAGGCAGGGTCAGGCAGCAATGAGTGTCTTGTTGTACCTCAGCTCCTGTGTGCCCCCAAAGAGTACACAAGAGCCACTGTAATGAGCAAGTTGGCATTAACTTTATTCTATCTTCTGTATAATCTTAAGTACATAAGAAAGGTTTTTTCACAAGCCTCAGGAGAAGACGAGTACAAGTCACAGGACAGTCTCAAAATAAAAAAATTGCATATTTTTTTGTAAGTTTTGTCCTAGAGAAAAAGAACATTGACACTTTACAGAGGAAATGCATTTAAGATATGCTTATGCCACCCAAGGCATTGGAAAAATGAGGGTCAAAGCACGTGCAGCTCCCTTTATGGGTCAGTACAGTACTGTGTCTTAGATCCATCACTCTGCTCCAGGGCCCTGGAACAGAGGCTACAAGCTTCCACCAAAGTAAAGAGCCAAGCAACAGGGGAAAGGGGAGGTTGAGAGGATTCAATTTATGGGGACTGATTGCAGATGAGGAAGAGTGATGAACCGACTTGCTCTCACTCAGGTATTTACAATACTGCACTACTGACCCTGGAATGAAGGAGACCCTTCCTCTGCAGAAGGGGACAGGTTCAGAAGAACTGTCCTGGAAGACTGAACCTGAGTTCAGCTGCTCGGAAAAGGAAGCCCTGGGGCAAAGATTCCCTTGCAAAGGTGGAGGGCTCATGGAATAAGAGGTGCTCAGCTCCAAGCTACCAGCCAGGCTGCCAGGGGGGTAACTGCAGTTACTCCTCTGCAGTCTTCCTGTGGCACTGGTTAATATAAAGCCTCCTGTCATGGCACAATCAGAAATACACTGAGCTAGGAGGAATGATGAAAAGAGAAATCGGAGTGGAATGCTACGGCCCAGGTCCTCAGCCTTTGGTCCAACAAAGCCGTTCCCATGTCCTGTAATGCCACCAACTAGTACATAGAGCTGGAATTAGCAACTTCCAGGACCTTCTTGAGACATCTGCCATAGCAACTGGGTACTCTGGACCCCGACATAAACCATTATTTGTTAAAAAGGGGACAATATTCCTCTCACATGGACAGTTTGCTTAAAGGCAATACAAAAAAACCCAAACAACACTCTGAAAGCCAACTGCCAGTACTGGCTGTGAAGTTCACCGAAAATCTGACTTGATCAATTGGTGCAGTTCTATCGGACAAGGGGAAAAAAACCAAAAAACACCTTCCTGCTAATAGATGTGGACAATAACTGACCCGCCACCTACACCAAACCCCAGGCAGAGGTATTTCAGTGATGGCAGGTAGCCGTGTCTCTCGGGTAGAAGAGAAGCAGTTTGAGAGCAGAAAGGTACAAGAAATCTAAGAGAATCATCTGAAAGCAGATTTGTCCCACAGCAGGGCCAGGGGAGGGCATAAGCCTTGGAGCTTTTCTGCTTAGCCAGCAATTTCCGTCACAGTGGTAACCAACTTCTGACCATTCCACACTGTCTTGAACTGTTCTGGGACAGGGAATTCGGTCTGGAGGGTAAAAATAGAAAACTGTTGTCAAAACACAGTTTATGACTGAGACTAGTAACTACTCCCGCCCCCAAGAGATCCTGAGGAAGAAGAAACTCTCACAAAACAGCAAGTATCTCACCGTAACAACAAACAACTTGATTTGCCAGTTTTAGCATCTGATCATCATTCACAACCTCCAAGTCTAGAGTCTAGACTTGTCCCTCCAGCCCTCACTGTCACTGACATTCCCTGCAGGTCTCAAAATACAAATCCTGCCCTGCGTTACCCGAACCCCAAGCAGAACTCCACAATGATATCAAAACTAACACTTACAAAGTCCCCACCCTCTGTGGGAATAAGGACATTCATCTCTGATGACTTGGCACTGACGATTTCGCAGTCTAGGGAGTTCTTGCTCAGATACACATGGCAACCGTCTGTCTTGTTGATGGAAATTGTTGGCACTTTACCCATTACCTAGCAGAGTGGTCAAAGCAGCAGTTAGAGGAGCATTAGCTTGAACTGGGCAACCACAAGATTTTTCTTTTGCACTTGCCTTCAAGGCAAGAGGTTTGACTCCAGCCCCCCTGCCGCAGACAGGCTGGATTCAAGCACTCCCACTTTGGCAAAAATCCAAAGTTATTTCTTATTTTGATCTCTTTAGAACAAAACTACAGTGAATGCTGGGCAAGCTGACCACCCCAAATCAGACAGCAAAACCGGAATCAGAGTAGATTCTACTGGTGGCCTCCTACTTTGGCAGTCATATCGTGCTGCCTGCCTCAGAGAGACTAGTCTTTTACCTAGAGCCCTGAAGCAGCTCAGTGAGGCAAATTTCAGCCCTTCCCTAAAGGCTGGGCATGGTGAGCTGCAGAGCAGTAGGACAGATGGTGTTTTGTAAGTGTTCTCCACAGATGCACATTCCTGTTCTGGAAATAAAACTACTCAAAAGAAGCAGATGCTACAGACGCCCTGTTGTACAGGGCAGCAGTCACACTCCGGGCAGCAAACAGGTCGCACTCACCTGAACTTTAACGTCCCTGCTGTTTATGATCTCTACGATACCCACCACGTCATCAAACACCAGACCTAGCTTCTTACAGTTATCTGCAAAGAAAAGACAGAGTAGCTCACAGAAAGTTTTTGGAGATTCAGCCTTCTGCAAACAGACCAGCATGCAGAAGCAGTTTTCAGGGTCTGTCCCACTTACCGAGGGTGATGGAGTTGATCTTGCCTTTGATTTGGAGTGTACTATTTGTGCACTTGAAAACATATGCTACCTGCTTTAACTCTGTGTCGCTGATTACCAGGTTAGTGGCATTCTCCTGGTTTTCCTGAAAAGGCAGGGGAAACACACTTTATTTTCTGAGTGCAGACCAATTAATCCATCTGAACAGCAGGGCAGTGCAGCCCCTTTAAAAGCAAACTGCATGTACCTTCAGGCTGGTGTCTCTTACAAGAAAGGTCTTCAGGAGACCCTCCTTCCCTGCTGCAAAGCTCTCATCCCTCCAACCCACTCATGCCAATGCCAGGCACTCACCACTCTCCACTTTTTGCCCTCCAATTCTAGCAACGCAGGTGCCTTTGGAGAGGTTTTTTGGGAGGGATTAGCATTACAGGCTGGTTTGGGAGCAGTGAAAGGTTTGGGTCCACTTCTCACAGGACCCCCTTGGTTCTTCAGTGCTGGATTCTTGTGGGTCTTCATGTCATCTGAAACGTGTCTTAATCCTGCAAGAGAAGTCAAGCCTGAGATGCAGCTCTCCTTCAAGAATGCAGTTTCACAAACAGCAGAAATCAGTGACTACAACAATCATAATGATAACATTTTTCAAAATGAAAATAAATTATTGAGACTGGGCCTAAGTTGATTCCAAGCATGAGTGACAGCAAGTGAAAGAGGGAGCAAGAAACACTGAGGCAATACTGACGAGAACATAAGATCTACTGTAGAACCAGAAGGCACGAGCTCTTCCACTCTGCAGCTAGAAAAAGCCTTGAGCCAAGCACCTCGCCTTTGTTTCACATCTGTCCTGATACACTAACCAGGTAACAATAAAAAGAGGTAAGTTGTGTGCAAATATGAATAGGTGCAAAATCGCACCTTTTGTACTGGACACGTGTAGGCAACCAAAGGGCTCGCTCTCTCCATTCCAGGTAGAGATTAATCTCTTCCTACACTTGACAGATGAGGCTGACAATTCTAACTCAGACGTGCTCCCTTTGTCCCTGTGAACTGCCTCAGGGCTGCTTCTGGCTCCCAGCCTCATGCTCAGACCAGACGGTCTTTTGTTACTACAACCCTACTTTCTAAGCAGGTGTATTGAGGGACAGTGACAAAAATCACAGCACAACAGTACTCTCGCTCATGGCTGCCCTCCCTCTGCTAGGTACTTCCACCTACCAGAGGTGATGCCTTCTCCCCGATTGATCTGGGCAAAGAGCGCGGAGCGGGAGGCAGAGTCATCTGTGCTGGAGCTCATAGGGGCAGGAGCAGGTGGGGGAGGAGGGCCTGGTGGGGGAGGCGCAGCCCCGGCTGGGGGAGCAGATGGTGATTTAGCCCCTTCTGTTGCTACAGGACCCTGTAAGAGGCCAGCAAGAGGAAAGGCAATTGCACAAGCTCTGTATCTGCTGCAATAATCACGCAATACTCCTCTAAGAAGCTCCTGCAGACACAACCAGCACTTACTGTTTTGCTCCAAGTCAGCCCTGTGGTGTGATACTCTTTGATGTAGGCCTGCAGCTCTGTCCAGATACTCAGGTAAGCTTTCACCCAGTCCACTTGCTTTTTATCTCTGAGGATACAAGGAGATCATGAGGAGCACGCAGGCACATTTGCCATTAAAACCCAAGGACTATAAACAGTTCTTTACATCTCTCCACCTCACAGCCCGCAGGCAGACGCAGCTGGACCAGCACAGCAGCC